AGCTTCCAGCTCCATTTTAAATTTAGCCAGCTCCTGGTCCAGCTTTCTCAAGTACCGACCTACCAAGTCATAGATCTGGTTTGTCAGCTGCACCTTCTCATCTGCATCTTCCAAAGCTCTATAGTAATCTTTTTTGATGGATGTCATTTGTTCTTTCCATTCAGGCTTATTCTTCTTTGCATTTAAAAAGAATTCACTGACTCTCTGTTCTAGCTGATCCATTGCATTCTGGACCTGCAGGTCCATCTCGCACATCTCCGTGAAGCGGTCCCGCAGGTCCATGGGAAGCTGCTCAATCATCTCCAAATAGTCCTCTAGGTAGAACATCGCGGCCCTGAGAGCTGGAGAAACAAGGGCGTCCAGGGGTTTATTTGTGTCACTCGCTGTCGCCGGAGTTTTGTCCCTTTCAATATGGCGCCTCAGCTAGCTGAACCCGCTCGGCTCAGGGGGTGGGGGTGGGGGTGGAGAAAAGAAACATTTTGGCGCCTGACGGCGCTCCGAATCTTTGTTTTCTTTTTTTTTTATTTACCTTTTTACAAAATGGAAATAAAAATGACATACATGTTTGGTGCCCAAAGTGGCATGTCCAAAGTACTAATATTCGTACAAAAATAAATTTTCAAGCTACGTGTCTTTTAAAATAAGCTTCACTGAGACCATCAGGGTGGGGACGGGGTGTTTTAGTCACTGTGTGAATGGCAAACACCTCGACAGACAAGCAGCTCAGGGGGGGCAGGAGGGAACCCAGTGCCTGCTGGACCCGCCAGCCATGTGTTCTTGTGAGAATGCAAGCGAGAAAAAGAACACAAACCCAAAACAAAGCTGCAGTATTTACATTCCTGAGCTACAGCAGCTGAGCCCACCCACACAGCTGGGCATTCAGGTGAACTGGACCCCATGGAGCACGTGCTGAGCTCTTACTAGGTCTCCGCTGCTGGCGACAGCATCTATCACACTCTGAGAGGAAGCGAAGCCCACGAGGGAAAGAGAAATCCGGTGTTAATACAGAGCAGTGCACACGTCTCCCTGGTCCACTGTTAACCTCTTAACAAGTCTCCTGGTCCCAGAGAAATAGGGTTGTGGATGGTACTACACCAGAAGGGACTTGGGTTTGTGGGGCTGGGTGCCACCAGACACACCGCTCAGTGATTTGGTCACAAGGCCCCAGTGCTCAAGTTCTTACATCTCCTTGGTCCAGGTGTGTTCACAGCTGTGGTCCAGGCAGGGCCTGTGACCCCTCCTACATGCCCCTTCAGCCTTGGACGACTAGGGTTTCTCCTTGCTCCTCATCCAGCTGGGCCAGGGCTGAGAACTTGCTGCAAGTGCATGCCGGGCTGGAAGTGTGCTGAGTGAGCCGAGATGCGTGGTCTGCCACCTGCTGCCTACCTGGTGCAGTGACCCCTGATGCCCACCATGGCACCAGCACAGTGCCCACCCAGGCAGAAACTCATCCAGGATCCCGGTTAGGAAGGCAATTCTGAGGAGGGTGGGAGGACGGGTGTAAAGGGTGCGCTGCAGCCACCTCAGAGTTGCTGAAGGTTCCAGCTCACCCTCCTCCTGGGGCCAGGAGGGCAGCGATGTGGAGGAGAGGACACCAAGCACAGAGCCTGTAGCTTGCTCACTGCAGTCAAGCTCTGTTCACAAGTCCTGGACTTTGGCCCTTTTGGCTTTCAGGGATAGGTGCGTTCCTTGTTGGTAAAAGTGCGGAGCCAGCTCCAACAGCCAAACCGACTCAATAGCTGTCACATCCCTCATGTAATACTTGGACGTCTGGATAACTTCATTGTATATGACCCAGCGAGGTGGCTTCTCTGCATAGAGGACTGACGCAGGGTGGATGTGCAGTTCATGGTCGTCACGGATGGTCCTGTAAACGCCAGAAGAATGAAGCCTCGCAGCATTTGCAAAGAATCCCGCAACGATGCACCTCAGAACCGGATCTGGATCACCTTCACTCGATTTCCTGGGCACCTGGAACTTGACAAGAAGCTTCTTCAACTGTTCTCTCACCGTTGCAGCTCTGACAAGACCTTTATAATTCAGGAAATGCTCCTGGCACCACTGAGAGTTCTTATTGTGTTTGATGAATGCTTCGTACACGTTGAGCATGGTGAGATGGTCCCCCTCCTCTACAGCAAATTTACGGTGTACTCGAATCGCATGGGACTTCTGGTTTGGAGGGACCACGAAGATATTCTGGATCTGCATCATGGCCGCAATGCTGAGGATTTCCTGGGAACAGCCAAAATTGCCTGATTCAAGCAGCATCTTTGCAAACATGGGGTTCAAAGGAAACTCTGCTATTCTCATGCCAAGTGGTTCGGTCAGGCGGCAGTCTTTGTCCAGACCTCCCAGAGCATAGAGCAATTCCAATGCTTGGACCATCGACTGTGCTGGGGGCGGCGACATGAAGTGGAACCTGAGGACGTTGTCAATTCCCAGCGCCTTCAGCTGCAGGATGACAGGCGCCAGGTTGCTGCGCTGCATCTCGGGAACGGTGGACTGAGGCAACTTGTCAAAGGCTTCCTCTGTATAGAGTCGGTAACACTTGCCGGAGCGGTTCCGACCGCCACGCCCTGCTCGCTGGTTGGCAGAGGCCTGGGACACGGGAACCACCACCAAGCACTCAATAGCAGTCCTGGGGTTGTAGGCGCGGAGCTTCACGAAGCCACAGTCAATGACATACACGATCCCGCTGATCGTGATGGAGGTTTCTGCCACGTTGGTAGCCACTATTACCTTCCTGACGGTGTGGGGGACTCGTTCAAACACTTTCATTTGTTCAAAGGCAGGCAGTCCTGCGTACATGGGCAGAACCCGCAGGTGTCTCTTCATCCCAGTGCGAGCCAGGGCACGGGCCTGCTCGACCAGCATGGAGACCACGGTCTCCACCTCCTCCTGGCCAGTGAGAAATGCTAATATGTCTCCATCGCCCTCAGTCTGATGAATTTTCACCACTGTTTCCACAGTTGATTTGATATAATCTGGAACAGGACTTTGCAGATAAAAGACATCCACTGGGAAGGTCCGCCCTTCCACTGTCAGAATCACACATGTATCCCGGTTCAGATCACTGGTTTCATTTTGATTAAAGAAATCTCGAAATTTCTCCGCATCCAGAGTGGCTGAGGCCACGATCAAGCGAAGATCCCCTCTTTTTTTCTGAATCTTTTTTAACAAGCCAATGGCAATGTCCGTATACAAGGTCCTCTCGTGGGCTTCATCCAGCATGATGGCACTATATCTGGTTAACAAAGGGTCAACCATCATTTCCCTGACCAGCATTCCATCTGTCAGAAACTTAATTCTCGTGGCCAGTGGGTCGGAGCAGTCATCGAAGCGGATGCAGTAGCCCACCTCATGGCCCAGCACTGCCCCTCTTTCCTCGGCTACTCTCCCTGCAACAGAAACAGCAGCTACTCTGCGAGGCTGGGTCACACCTACAACTCTCCCTTCGGCCGTCCAGCCAGCTTCCGCGAGGTATTGCGGAATCTGCGTGCTCTTCCCACATCCCGTTTCGCCAACAATCACCACTGTCTGATAGTTTTCTATCAAGTAGAGTATGTGATTCCTAAGCTTGAACACGGGCAGCTTCTGCCGCTGCTGCTCTATAGAAAGGGCGGCATAAGGGTTGTAAACAATGGTCGGCACTGAGGTTTCCGACTGGCTTTGTCTCTCTTCAGAAATGCTGACGCCTGGCCCTTCGGTACCAGGTCGCCAAAACTTCACGGGTCCCACGGGCGCAGCCATGCTGAGGTGAAAGGTCACGGCGAAGGCTCCACCAATTCCGCTGCACTCCAGCCTCTAGGGTCCAGGTACGTGGCCCGTGAGGAGCCTCTGCTCCTACCGCTCAGGTCGGGTTGTGGCCACGCAGGGCCACCAGTCTTTGCTTTATGTTGAACTTAGGAAAAAAGGGAGCTCTAAGGCTGAGAGGTTAGAACACCTTAGGGAAGAGGTGTTATTGGTAAAGC